GTCAGTATCTTTTAATCATATGTTTAAAAGGATACAGGTGGGGGGCTGGAGAGATGGCTCAGAGGTTAAGAACACTGGCTGTTTTTCCAGACGTGCTGAATTCAATTCCCAGCAACCACATGGTGGCTTGCAACTATATCTGGTGTGCAGGCAGAATGTTGTATAAATAATAAATAAATCTTAAAAAAAAAAAAAGATACAGGTGGCTGTAGTTTCATAGCTGCTTTTTCTTTTATTTGAGTGTTTTGTATAGATCTTTTTCTCTGTATTCTTTTAGAAAGTCTTCAAAATTGACATGCTGTCTTAAGGAGGTTTCTCTCTACGCCTTGTGACTTGCTGGGACAGGGTCTCACTAGCTTGCCAAGGCTGGCCCTGAACTTCTCTAGAATAGTGAAGATGACAGGGCGGCAACACCAGGCCAAGCTAGATTTTTTTTTTTTTAATATGTTTGTTAGAAAATTGGTTGTCACTTCATTTTATTTAAATATTAAGTGAGGACTGGGTTTGTAGCTCACTTGGCAGAAACCCTGGGTTTGCTTTTAGCACCACATATACTAGATACGCTCTCACCCTGTATCACTGGGGTGGTAGAGAGGCAGGGATCAGAAGCTCAGACCATTCAGTATGTAACTTCATACTGAGTCATGATTCTGTTACAGTTAATTGATTAACTGTTAATAGCACTATGAGTATTTCTGATCACAGTGATACTCAGCATTTCTTTATTTGTGGTCCACTGATATTTTCATTCCTAAACCTTTTATATTTGCCCAGTCTAGTGGAAATAGGTGCCAGGGAACACTCCCTGAAAATTGTCTTTATATAATTTTTGCTTTATGTATATGAGTGTTTTACCTGTATGCATGCCTTTGTATTGAGTACCTGCATAGTGCCCTTGAAGGTTAGAGGAGGGTGTCAGATCCCTAATACAGTTACAGGTGGTTGTGAACCACCATGTGGGTGCTGGGAAACAAACCCTGTGGGTCCTCTGAAAGAGCAACAAGTGCTCTTAACAAGCTGTCTCTCCAGTCCCCTTTATACCATTTTTATTCAAAATAGTAAATAATGATTTATATTCAGTATTTTTTTAAGAAAACATTGTTTAAAAAAAATAAATGTAGACGATTAGTACGTGTGACTTCTCCTCCCCAAGCACCCAACCTGGCTGTTTGGTTGTTTGTAGGCAGGGTTTCTCTGTGTAGCCTTGGCTGTCCTAGACCACTCTCTCTGTAGATGAGGCTGGCCTCGAATTCACAGAGATCTGCCTGCCTCTTGTCTCCTGAGTGCTGGGATTAAAGGTGTGCATCACCACTGCCCTGGTTGGCCTCTATTTTTGCATCTACTTGATTTTGATTGTAGTGAAAAGTAGGCATTTTCTAAGCAGTGTTAACCCATATAGTGTTGGCTTTAGAGGTAAGAGATGGTACTAGCAAAAGCCTTTTGGTTCAGTGTCTTTTATTTTATTTTATTTTATTTTATTTTATTATAATTTATCTACTTTATATCCTGATTGTAGCCCCCTCCCTCATCTCCTCCCAGTCCCACCCCAGGGCCATTTATTAAATCAATAATTGATACAGCATTATAATTAGGCATTTTAGCTATCATACCATTAAGTTACTTAGTGCTTCTAGTAATATTTTTCACATGTTTAAATTTTTATTTTTGTACCTAAGTGTGCCGTGATGCACATGTGGATTTCAGAGGACAGCTTGGTTCTCTTCTACCATGTGGATTCTGGAGTGGAACTCAAGTTACCAGGCTTTGCAGCAAGCCAACCTTACCCATCTAAAAGTTCTAGAAATAATTTAAACAAATGACTTGATTTCTAAAGCTATTCTCATTTTAGTTCTATAGTCAGGGTATTTATAGTTGAGTATAATTATTTAAGTGAATTACATGGAAACTACTGTCTATAAAATAGGATAGTTTCTTTTCACCAAGCTCTGAGTCTACTATTCCCTTGGTCTAACTCATAGTTGGCATTCATGAATAAACAGTGATTGGTATGTGAGTTAATTTTTTGTTTTGTTTTTTTTTTGGGGGACAAGAGTTTCTCTGTGTATAGCCCTTGCTGTCCTGGACTCACTTTGTAGACTAGTCTGGCCTCGAAAGCACAGAGATCCACCTGCCTCTGCCTCCTAAGTGCTGGGATTACAGGTATGCCCCCACCACCGAGAGAATTTGAATATATTCTGATGTCCCCAATTTTCTTGTGTCTATGTGGGTGGGGATGAGATTTAGTTTCAGGATAGCCAACAGAATCTCTTGTTACCGATACATAACAAATACACACAAACTTGTATGCACAGGCATAAAAATGTCAGTCTTCTGCCCAGTTCTCATTACACCCTCATAAACAACCGAGTTAAATATCTGCATCCCCGTTATTTATTTAATCAGAACATAGCTTATGTATTTTTATATAAGAGATCCAAAAAACTTACTCTTTTTAATGTATGTATGTATTTAGAAGTATGTATTTACTTTTTGTGGGGGGTGTACATGTGTGTGTACATGCATGTTAGGCAATGTATGTGGATGTCATTAGACAACTTGTGGGAGCCTGTTCTCTCCTACCTTGTAGATTTCATAGTTAAAATCCTAGTTGTCAGGCTTGTCAGTAATCACCTTTACTCACTGAGCCCTCTTACCAGTTCACTTTTTTTTTTTCAGCTCCAGAGAGTATGTAGGTACTGTATTTTGTTTGACTAGTTTTCTATTGATAATAATTCGATCTGTTTTCAGTCCACAATATTATAAACAATGTGTAACTTAAAAAGGGGGGTGGGTAGAGAGGGCACTCAGCAGTTAGGAGCACCAGCTGCTCAGCCCCAGCCCCCAGCCCCAGGCAGTGGCTTCCAGTGGTCAGGAACTCCTGCGCTAGGGGGATCCAGTATCATCTCTGGCCTCTGCAGCACCAGGCATGCACACGGTGCACACGAGCACAGCCCTGCAGACACTCCTGCACATAAACCCTTTTAAAGCTCCAACTGAAAAATACGCTGATAATGAAAACGAACTATTAAACCAGGTATGCGGTCTCAAGTTAAAAACAGTTCACTAAAACAAAAATATTCAACTCCAGTAAAGGTAGATCTCTTCTAATTCATGTCAGTATTGTTGGACACTGCCTCTTAAAGCTACACTTAAAAAATAATACTGATTTTGAGCAAAGTTTTTGTGAATTGTCAAAAGGGTCTATTAGTTTATTAGTGTATTTTGTATAAAGAATTTTAGAGTTTTAAACATGGATAAGTAAAGTAAGCAATAGACAACTGGTGTGGTAATGATAATATTAAATCAATGAATTTTTGAGTCAAATCATTAGCAATAAGCATAAATGCAGTGAGTACATACATAACATGTTTTCAAACTATATCATGGGAAGTTATGTTTGTAAGCCATAAGCATCCAAAATGAATTTGCACTTGTGCATTATTTTCTTCAGTGTGAATGCCTGGGCTTCAGGGAGAACTGGAAGCCTCCTTAAAAGGAACCCCCAAAACTTAGCAGGCAAGAAAAAACATTGGGACAATAATATTGCTACATCCAGAGAACACATTAGAGGATGAAAACTAACTCCTAGGTCACATGGTTTTTATGTCTCGCCTTGGAAAATTTCATCCAAAAATAAAAGTTTGGAGTGAATAAAAGATGATTATTATTTACACCATAGATTATAAATTAGTACACATGAACTTGAGTAAGATTTCTTAAAAGTTTGGATTATTGAAGCACAATTGACTCCCTAGAATGTGTGTATTTAAGGATATGATACATTTTCCTATACCTCTTAGTGTCTTTTACATCTGGTGCAGATGGCTAGAGGTGGACAAGTCACAGAAAGCATTCTATTGATGTGTCTGTTTTCCTGGTGTGTATGTACTGATGACATGAGTACGTAAATAGACTAAAATGGGCCTGTTCAGAAGGGGGTACATTTTGTCCTGCAGTCAAAAATGACTGGTGTGTTGTTAATTTGGATTGTTAGCGTAGTCTTCAGTTAAACACTTACTGAACCCTTTGTAATGTCTCAGGAACATAAAACATAAGAAAATTTCTGCTTTTTAGAAGACACAGTGGATAGATAGCTGGGCGTGGTAGCACACACCTTCAATCTTTTTTTCCTTTTTAACAGTTACAATTGGCATTTATTCAAAGTGAGGCAGAGCAAATAATTTTTGTATTGTGGTTCAGGTTGAACCAATGTCATAAAAATATACTGAGACCAGGCACATCCACAGATCTCAACTACAGACTGCTTTTCACCCACTCTTCTCTCTCTTCTCTTTTCCAAATAAGCTCTTTGAGATAGAATTGAAGGTTAATTTTATCCTCATATTTTGTCCATTGCTCCTTAGGCCTGACCTGATGCCTCATACGCAGGTCCAGGGCTCTCTTAATGTGAAACACTGTTGTTATAAAGGTCCTCAGGAGGCCTTCTGATGGTTTCTTTCACAGCTTTGTCTTTAATGCTGTATCATCACACAGCAACCCCAGTTCATTGTATTTTGAATTATAATAGCATTTTTTAAAATCATTTAGCTACTTGCTTGACGCTGCAACAGCATGCTTGCCCACCATTTTGGCTTGAGTGTCCACACCTTTAATCTTCACACTAGGGAGGCAGAAGCAGGCAGATACTTGTGAATTAAGGCCAGCTTGGTCTACATAGTAGACAGGACAGCCAGGACTGTGTAGAGAGACTTTGTCTCAAAAACAGTTGTTCATATTGGGGCAGGAAGGGTGAGGGGACAGTATAGACCCTAAACCCTACATTAGATGCATGTCTTATAGAGAGAAGCATGCACGACTGTAGGAGAGTTGGTTCTGCTAAGAAGAACTGGGGAATAAAGAAGGCAAGCCTTGGTGAATACATTTACCAGGAGCATGAGCCTGGGGAGCTGCGAAGGAGAAAAGAAAGAGGCGGTTGCTGCTGTGATTTGCTGCTGCTAGTGGCTCAGGCCTGTTAAGTACAGGCTAAGACTGAGAGCTGAATGAAGTCACTGGTGGTGGAGCACTTGCCTAAAATATGTAAAGCCCGAGTTCAGTCTCATTCCAGTATGGCCAAGATAAAAGTATGATTTGTGTTAAAACAGCAATTCAGAATTAATTATATGGCATATTTGGGGAAAGGAGTAGGTCCAGACAGTGTGGGTGGGCCATCACAGACTACTTTGGAGATACTTGAGTTACTTCATCAGTGGGTTGAGACTGTCCCTGAACCTTACGATTTTAAAGCCCTTTTGTGGTATTCAAGTGACTATTTTACATATGTTGCCTAAACTTTAGAATAGTCACATATTGATTGAAATTTTGGTTTCTACTTAAAACATTTCATTGAAGCTTCTACATGTTGTTGCGCAGTTGACAGAAACAAGTTCAGTTGAGCAGTATTTAATGCATCTGATTCTCTGTCCTGGTTGTTACCTTGTTTTACTAAGTCATTAGTAATCGTTGTAGTTAGCATTTTTCTTTACTGGGTACCCATGAGGTGGTCTTTTTTCATTTGCATCTTGAATTCATTTCGCAGATTCTGCTTAACCACATTTCTCTTCTCTCTCTCTCTCTCTCTTTTCATTCTACTACTTGAGCTCAGGAATCATTGTCTTTGATCCAGCTCTCGAGAATAGCAAGTGGGTTTTTTTGTGACAAAGGAAGCACATTTGCAGTATGGCAGAAAATATAAAGAACTTGTTTTTAGCCATGTCTTAATTGTCTCGGTGTTATAAGGTAACTGAAGCTAATCTCTTCACCCTGTAAAATAGTTCCTTTTTCCTGCTGCTGGAAAATTTGTGATTTCATTCTGCCATGTACTGCCTCTCAGCCTTTCCCTTCTTGAATCCTGGCCTGTTTGTTTCTTCTTTATGTTTGGTGCTAAAAACAAAACAAAACAAAATGAACATTGAATATGAGTCCAAATCTTACACTTTGTGATATGGGAGTCAGAATTCCTTTTCATCCATTTTCAGATTCAGTGCTGCCTTCAGAAGGTTTGACTTGCCAAAAGGTGGTTCAGCAAGATGATTTTTGAGTGGAAGACACATTAAAGTCTGTCTTCTCCATAATTAAATGGCTTGCTTCTATAGAATCAGAAGACTATGTGTGACATACACTACACCTCATAAATAGACTAATCAAGTCTGAGCCAAGATGCCCGAGGGATTGTACAAAGTGCCTGTTTTTGTGTTCACGAGCAGGATTGCAGTGAGTGATGGCACACTAATCTGGCAGGTGCTGCTAGAAACTTGTTTGGTTTCTCATTAATTTTGTTCATGTGTATTCAGGTATCTTTTACTGTTGTCGTGTGTGTGTGTGTGTGTGTGTGTGTGTGTGTGTGTGTGTGTGTGTGAGATTCCTGTTCATATCCAGGTCCCATCCATTTGTTCCTGTGTTGTGTTCCACACACACCCCCCTCCTGGATGCATTGGATCATAACCCACAGTTAAAGAGGCCAGATTTGAGATGACCAGATGAAAAATGCAGAGAAAAGAATAGCATGTGAAGGTGGGAAGGCATTTGAGCAGTTGTGAACAAAGGCCAGAGTGGCTGCAGCAGTGTGAATGAGGGAAGCGTTCCTTCGGAGATGCTGAATGTGGCAGGGGTCAGATTTTCACTACTTTCAACTTACTTAGCAATGGAAAGTCTTTTTTTTTTTTTTTTTCCTAAATATACTAAATCGTAGCTATTTTGTGCAGATTATTCTGACTGTTTAACGTAATATTGAAACTTGATGCTTAAAAAGAGACCGGGAAGGCTGGTGCAGCTTGTGAGAAGGTAAAACTTCTTTGTTGGAAAAGTGTGTGGCTGAAGGATAAGGAGTTAAGTTGTGTTGTGTGCCGTTCTTGCCTGCACTGTGCTCCTTACCTATTTCTTCTAGGAAATGGGCCCATTTCTCTTTGACCCAGCTTTGACGGTTACTGTTACAGCCCCGTCAGTCACTGTGATAGACAGTTGGTTCATTCTCTAGTGGTTATTTTTTTACCTTTATTAGTTTTATTATAAGTGACAAGAGCTAAAAAGGAAATGAATCATTATGAAATATGTTTTTTACCCAGTCTGATCTTGTCCCTAAAAGAAGTATTCCAGTTGAGTTTCAAGTGTTAAATATGGCTAAATTTCATAGGTCTTTAGTCTGTGAGAGCGAGTGCCATTTGTCTTCTCTGCAGAGGGTGTGTACTAAAAAAAAGCCATCTTGATGTATTTCTGAGCTTCCTAAATACTGTGCTCAGTGAAACATTCTTCACTCTGCCTTTACAGTATTCCATATGTACTTTTGAAGAAATAAACTGTATTTGATTTTAAAATATTTCTAATATATCTTTATGTTTATTTCCTTTCTCTCCAATACCAGTCTTTTGATATAAACTTATCCCTTTGTAATGGCTTGTAGGTGAGGAGAAAATGATCTTTATTTTGTGGCCATTTAAAATAATACTTTGTGGGCTCAGCAGTTTAATGTACTTGCTATAGAGCCTGACAACCTATGTTCAGTCTTAGGTCTCACCTATGGAAGGAGAGACTCTGGCAAGCTGTTTTTAGGTGACGCCTGCCAGGTCACCTCGCCAGTCCAGATAGCTTTGTAACATCCAGAGACGAATGCTAAAGTAGAGCTGTAGAAGTTTGAAGGGGTTTCCACCATATAAATTCAGCTCTTACTGAAAATGAGTGAGTGAAAATTTGGATTAAAAAACAAAACAAAACAAAAAAAACAAGTGCTATAAGAAGCAAAATAAGAAAAGATAAACTTGTTCTAAGATTTCAGTCGATTAATGAAGATTACAAAATGCACATTGATTTCACAGAGTGAAAGTTGTTGGATTTTTTTCCATTTTACTTGGTTATTGTCTTGTATCTGTATGCAATGCATGCACATGTTCGAGTGGACACATGAGGAAGTTGAGAGGATGGGGTCAAGTTTCTTCATCTCACTGAACGTGGAGCTAGACTGGTAGCCACAAGCCCCAGCAGGCCTCTTGTCTCTGCGCAGCTCACCCTCCATGTGACAATAGGGTCACGGGTTCTTGTACAGTTATGCCTGGTCCTTTACATTCATGTTGAGGGTTAGCTGTTCATGCTCGTACAACAAGCACTCTTACCCCTGTGCCCTCTTCCAGCCTCTGGAAGTGCTAGTTTTGAGATAGAAAAATAATTTCTATTTTACTGTATACTTTATTCCTTCTTTTTGTTGTTTTGTTTTGTTTTGGGTTTGGTGCGCGCGCGCGCGCTTGCATCCCACACAGGATTTCTCTGAGTAGCTTTGGCAATTCTGAAACTCACTCTGTAGACCAGGCTGGCCTCGAACTCAGTGATCCGCCTGCTGCTGCCTCCCAAGAGCTGGGATTGAAGGTGTGCCACTATTGCCTGACTTGAGTCTCCCTTTTTAAAGGAAGATCAGTGTTGAAGGTTATTTTGTTTTAAACAAAAATAGAATATTTTTTTATCCTAGCAGCATCCACTTTTTATAGTACTGTGTGAGTTTCTTTTTCTCATTCATTCTCTCTCTCTCTAAAACCCAGGAGTACTCTGAAGACAGTAACTCTGAGCCCAACGTGGATTTGGAAAATCAGTACTATAACTCCAAAGCATTGAAAGAAGATGACCCAAAAGCAGCACTAAGCAGCTTCCAAAAGGTTTCTATTTCCCAGCTGATTTTATGTCTTAAAGTTTGTTTTTCAAAGGCTGCTATCTCAGTTTTATCATTGCTACAACCAAATGTCAGACTCACAACAAGGGTGGAAGTATTTACTTCAGTTCTCTGTTTAGGATGCTGCAGTTCCTCCTAGCAGGGAAGCCATATTGGCCAGAGAGCATGTGTCTAGGACTCCTCCCATCCCAGTGGACCAGCGCTGTGGTTTGAATGAGTAGCCTCCATAAGCATATATCTGAATGCCTGTTCCTCAGTTGGTGAAATTCTTGGTCAGGATTTAGTGGTGTGTCCTTGGAGGAGCTCATATACCTCTGTGGGTAGGCTTTGAAGTTCCCAAAGACCATGCCAATCCCAGTGTCTTTCTCTCTCTGCTTCCTACTTGCGGATCAAGATGTGAGCTTTCAACTGTCCCTGCTCCCATGTCCTGATAAGGACTTCGACCCTCTGAAACTGTACACCTAAATTAAACAGTTTCTTTAGAAGTTGCCTTTGCCATGGTATCTTATCACAGCAGTAGAGAAGTTAACTAAGGTAACCAAGAAGCAGGGAGAGAGGCTGGGGCCTAAAGTGGAACTGGGTTGTAGCTCCCAGACTTAAATTCCAATGATTTACTTCCTGTGAGTGGCTCTACCTCTGAAGGTTCCACAACCTCCCAAGACAAACACCGTCAGTTAGGGACCTGTTGTCTCACACATGAGACAGACATTTTATATCCAAACCATAACAGGTGCAGTAAATCCAAAGTGATTTATTTCAGAAATGTGTGCGAAATATTTATGATCGTTCTGTCAGAGGGCTTGCATTATGGACAGCAAGCATATATTTCAGAAAGTTTGCTATTGTCTTTTCTAATCAAGCTGTCAGTGAAGCAGGGCCCTTGACCTAAAAGCCACAGTAGAGAAACATTCTCTTGGCCAGAAGTAGTATTACTATAATCTTGTAGCTTCTGGGAACAGATCAGTTAATTTCCTGACTTCTGAACAGTGGTTGTTCTTAGTAAAGATGATTCAGGTAGGGGAGTCCTTTCTGAGCCTGCTTAATCAAGTAAGTCCTCTCATGTAAAGAGCTTAAGTTGTCTTACTTACCTAAGGATCTCAAGAAGTCTGTCTTTAAAAACCTTTTTAAAATTACATTAACAACTAGTGAAGTCTGGGAGAAAATATTTTTCATGACTAGCTTATAAAACTAATTCACAACTTAGCCATTGGATGTCATTCAAAAATAGTACATTAATATTAAGACTAAAAATATCTTCCCATTTTAGGTTTTGGAGCTTGAAGGTGAGAAGGGAGAATGGGGGTTCAAAGCGCTGAAACAGATGATCAAGATTAACTTCAAGTTGGTAAGATTTATTCTGAGAGAAATTAAACTCACCATGAGTAACTGCATGCAAGCCTCCTGCAGCAGAGCCCCATATGTCTCCTCTAAAGTCATTATAGTCACATCTGTCCATGTGCGGACTGCAAAAATAGGACTACAGTACTGATCTTTTCTTAACTTTTAAAATTCTAGTTAAAAATAATAATTTCTTTCCTTTCCTCCCTCTGTCACCTCCCGTGTCCTCTCCCTGAAATGCTAGTTTTTTTAATTTGGACAGAGGATTTAAAAAAAAATTATTATTTTTTTTTTTTTTTTTTTTTTTTTTTGTATGAAGAACTTATTGTTTAGGTGTGTTTTGTGTATATTACTGCATATTTACAGGTAAGTATTTAGGGTGATTTTTTGTAAATCTTACTTTGGAAGTTTATTTTAGAGTTTAAAAATTCTGTTTATTACCAAGCCTGGGACCAACTACTTCAGCATTGTACCCGACACCTTTGTTGTCTCTCTTCCTACCATTAATGAAGATATCAAGAAGGCCTGAGTACCTTCAAAAGATGCCTAGTGTAAGGTTTTCACCTCTGCCACTCTGGTCCAAGCTAGCATCATCTGCCACGTACATCATTGCAGTGACTTGTTAGCTGGTCTTGCATCCGTCCTTGTCAGCTGCAGTTACTGTCACAGGTAGCAGAGTTATCCTTTTAATATATAACTCAGATGATGTCATACATTCCTTCAGATCTCCTGTGATTCTCATTGCCCCACATTAAAATCCAAAATCCTTATCATGGCCTTCAGAGATCTCTTTGCTGCTGCCTCTGCCTCAGATGCTCTTCTCTCAGCCTTATTGCTCTGATCAAATGTTATTTGCCCATCAGATAGCCTCCTCTGCTGTTTCTGTTCTTTGTGACTTGTTTATTCATTGCCTTTTCTCTATACCCTTCCCCACTGTAAATACTGTGAGACCTGGGCTTTGTGTTCCCTGTTCTGTTCTTAGCACCTAGAACGGTTGCAGGCATTTAGTAGGTACTCACGTACTCTGTTGGGTATTCATAGATAAACTGATGTGCCATGATAATAAAATGCCACTCATTACTTTCCTTACACTGGCTAAACAAAAGTAAGGAGTGGAGGGAAATGGGTAGGAGATCATTTTCCCAATAAAAACTTGCCTCACAAGCAGAGGGAGACCTGAATCCAATCCCTAAATTCCACATAAAAGCTAGTTATTACTTTATTCTTTCTCCAAATTCCTTCTTCCTTCCAGTTGTTTCTCTGATCCCATCTCTTTGCAGTGACACTCTTGTAGCCTCTTTCAGATGTACTCTGTGTTATCATCTCCTGCCCTTAATAAGATTGGCTTCCTGAGCCTCTCCTGCAAAAACTATCAGGAAAATGTTTTAGCACAAGTCTTTGCCCCAAAATTTCAGAACCGTTCAAAACGTGTACACTGTTAGTATTTTATATGCTTCATTTAAATCTAGCTAACAAAGGAAAATCATCTATGTTGCATTTACCCTTTCTGGTTCCACTTCTCAAAGTATGCTTTTGTTGCACAAAGCCCCTGTACTTTCTGTTTGTTTTTGTGATATTACACCAGTATTTCCTATATTTAAATTAAAAACTTGGGAAATATAGATGAAGCAACAGGTGACTAAAGGGCAAAGATTGAAAAAAAAATATAGTAACATTAAGTGCTCAGTGTCAACTCTGAAGATGCAAGGAAACATGATTCCTTTAAATCTTATTATCTTCACATAATAACAGTGGTTTTGGTTTGGGTCCATTTAAACAATGGACTTCCCTTAAGACTTGGTTTTTCTGTTTTACCTCAGACCTGGGAAGAGTAAGAAGGGGTTATCTGTCTCATTGTATCATCTTTCTGGTTTGCCATTTGCTTCTGTCACAGCATCTGTAAGTAGGAGCCCACAAGAGCAGCCTCAGCTATGTCTGCCTCTTGCATTTTCTAGTTGAATCCACAGTAGAATCTATGTAGTTGTGCAGTGTGGGGCATACAGTTAGAAGGCATTCATACCTTTGCACCGTTCCTTTGAAAGAACTCAATAAAAGAGGATAGAAGCAGTGTGAGATTTTAGAGAGTGTGGACCAGATGATACAGTTAGACTCCAAAATTGACTTACATGACACACTCCCCAAATACCTAACTGCCAACATTTTACTAGTATCCCTTTGTTTTTCCGGATCGTTCCTCTTTCCTGGAATAACCTATAAAACAGTTTATAAACAATCATAAAACATAATGTTGCAGTGGCTAGTAACTGTCTACCTTGGAGTAGGACCCTGTATGGGATGGTTTTCTCTTTTAATTGAGAATAGGTTTATATATTCTCAATAGATAAATAGGCTTATATTTTATATATTCTGAGTACAGTTTCTTCTCCCAGATCCTCCCCACATCCCTGGGATGATTTTCTTACATGAAATAAGTTTTGGGACTTAAAGAGATTTTTTTGACTTCATTAGAAAGCCAGCCATTTCAAGGGGGAAATGAAATATGTAACTCTTATTAAAAAGTTAGGGTGAATCTTTAAGGGAGAAATAGTTGATATCTGCATTGCTGTTAGCCACAACATTTGAAAAATTATCTGCTTTTGTCTAATAGTTATCTTGGTTTTTTTTCTAATCAAATGTGTTATGTAATAAAGAGTAATAGTTGAAGCTTGGAACATGTACAAATTTCTTTTCAGTGGGCTGGATTCCGACCTTTGTGTCATCTTGCATGTACCGGAACGTGGCCATACTGTTCTTCCTCCTTTACAAGAGGATATCACGAATTGTACCAGGTCCACCTCGGTGGGCAGTAATGTGTGCCAGATCGTAGTCCTGAGCACAGGGGTAGCACGCTCAGATGTCTCTAGTCATGCATTTTTCTTTCCTCACAGACAAACTTTCCAGAAATGATGAACAGATATAAGCAACTATTGACCTATATTCGGAGTGCAGTCACCAGGAACTATTCTGAAAAGTCCATTAATTCTATTCTTGATTATATCTCCACTTCTAAACAGGTTAGACTTGAGTTTTTCCTCTTGATTCTGTCACTGTGTTATTTATAGTAACGGTTCTGTGTGTTTGGGGTACTGGTACTGTGATAGGTATTTTTCTTTCTGAGATAGTCTCATGTAGCCCAAGCTGGCTTCTTAACTAGCTCTTGCTCAAGGGTGTCCCTGAGCTCCTGAACTTCCCCTCTATGCCTTCCAAGTGCTGTAGACAGGCATATGCCATCATGCCTGTTAAGGGCTTGTTTTATTTTAAAGCAAAGGCCTTTTTACTAATTAATAGTGTGCTTCAAATGTTCTGTTTTTGTTTTTGTTTTTAATTTGTTCTTTTTTTTTTTTTTTTTATTCTGGTACTAGTTAAAATTTAAAGGCAATAAATCTGGCCAATCTCTTTAAGTAGTATCTTTAAATCCTTAAACATTGCCTGTAAATAACTTGGGCAGACTAGTATTCAATTCAGATTCCATGAGCCTGCTAGGATAGCTCTGTTTTTGATGAAATTGTGTCTGCATCTGAACGTAGGACACTGAGCATGCCAGACAAACATTCCCATTGAAGTTGCACCCCCAGCCTTCACTCCAGCCATTGGGAGTGTTAACTGAGCATCAGTCATGAGTTGTAATATTTGAGTAGATTAAAGTCCTTGAGAAGAACTTGCCCTTTGTCAGTCTCAGTAGGTGCTCTATAAATGCTTCTATCAAGCATACATGGTGATCTGATAGTGGGGAGGTGGCAAGGGAGATGGGTTCTTCTAGAATGTGGTGGTTAACAAAGATAATGATGTTTTTATGTATTTCATCTTTTTTTTCCTCCTGAGATCTTTTTTTTTAATTTTTGTATTTTTAAGTTTTGTTATACTCTGCTATTTGAACACAAGATGTTCTCTGTATCACTTAGTATCTCTCTTTGTGTTCCTGACCAGTGTTCTCAGAATCAGCCTAATCATGCCCCCAACACACACACATACACACTCACACACTTCTTTTTAACCAGATGTTGAGATAGTTTGTTGTCATTCTTTTTATTTTCCACATCTGTTCCTGGGAATAGGAGAAAGTAAGCCCTGTCACTTAATGGCAAAAGTTGTAGAATAAGTCGCATGTGACAGTTCTGCTATATAGTGACTTTGAGGCCAGCGTGGCTGGTGGTACATGCCTGTGATTTCAGGACTTGACAGGTGGAGACATAGGAATAAGAAAAGGTTCAAGGCCATCCTTGGAAACGAGGGTGAGTTTGAAACTAGCCTGGACTGCATGAGACATTGTAGATAAGTAAATAATACTGAAGTGGGAAAATACCTTCTGTTGCTAACAAACAAGAGCTATAAAAACGTTTTTGGTACTCTGTAAATGTTACGACAAATGTTAGGGAAATAGAATAATTTTAAACTTGAAGGTTGTATTCTTCTATATGTTGTTATGTGAAAACTTTTTGCCTTTTGAAAGGACAAGTAGATACTGTGTGGGTAGCATTCTAACTTCCTCTGTGTCATCAGTAACCCTGAGTAAGCAGGCAGCCTTTCCTGAGAGTGTCAGACTCTGCTGCTCTCCTGGTCTTCTTTTCCCTGTTACATAGAGATTTAGGGAGCCAAATAGAGGAGGGCAAGCAGAGAAACTCAAGATGGTGCAAAGCAATGGTTTTTATGGGGGGAAAAGTCAACATTCAGATTAACAAAGTGATTAAACCACCAGCTAAAATTACACTCAAAAAAAATAAGACTGTTCTAAGACATCCACGAGATGTGGTTTAAGCCTGTAATCCCAGGAGGGGATTTACATGAGAAGGATAAGATAGACTATCACCAAGAGTTCCAGGCCAACCTTGTATCCCTGACACCCCCGTCCCCCGCATGTTTCCTCTAGAATGTTGTAAGGGCTGAGTAAATAAAATGTATGTATATTTAGTAAAAATATAGCATAACATTCTATTGATATAAAATGAGTGGTTAGGTTAAGAAGGACAAGACAGACATTACGATTGCAGTATTAGAACTTTTGACCGTGTAATTTACATGAGAAAATATATTTCTTGTTTTTACAAAACAAGCAAAAATATCTTAGCATTTATAAAGAGGTCTTAATGTTTTGATTATAGAATACACTTGGTAAGAAACAAATAGTGTATCTTACATGTATTAAAGTTCAAAGATGCACTTTTAGTTTGTTCAAATTAACTTTATTAACAGGTACAAATTTGCTGTTTACAATTATAGAATTCTGATTTTTTATGTCAGATGGATTTACTGCAGGAATTTTATGAAACAACACTGGAAGCTTTGAAAGATGCTAAGAATGATAGACTGTGGTTTAAGACAAACACAAAGGTAACAATTGCATTTGTTCCTCCTTTTGAAGAGTGGGTGGCTACCTTGAGCGACGTGCCCTAAGTATACATACCTCCTATTAAAAGCTTTTCATCTTGATTAATTTTTTATAGCTTGGAAAATTATATTTAGAACGAGAAGAATATGGAAAGCTTCAAAAAATTTTACGCCAGTTACATCAGTCTTGTCAGGTAAAATTTCCTTACTTTTTTTTCTTGATATAAACAAGAAATAATAGTTTATTTAGAAATGCTTGTTTGCAATCATTATCCCAAAAATAAAATTTGAAGATACATGTTTTTAAAGGATCATGATCATGAGTTCAGGTGCAGCCTGGGCTATGTAAGGAGGCTTTGCTTGGGGTTGAGAATGACTTTTTCTGAGTTCTGCATTAGTTACAGCAGTGGTTCTCAGCCTCCCTAATGCTGCGAGCCTTTATGCTATGTCCCTGGTCATAAAATGATTTCATTGCTGCTTCTTAACTGTATTTTTGCTACTATTATGAATCATAATATAAAGGGATCAGGACCCACATATTGAGAACCACTTTGTCTAAATGCTCGTTTCAATTCTTATCCTTTATGGAATAGATGTAGTTATCAGTGAGCAGGTAAGTCCCTTGTAATATGTAGTAAGCCTTGGTATTTACTTATTTGCTTTAAGAGTATGGGGAATCATTTTATAAATAAAAATAACAAGATATTTTATGTTCTAATATATAGCATATTTGTGTATATCATTTGTATCATTATTCTCAGATAAAATTTGGAGTGATGTTGTATATGTCTGCAGTTCAATATAGCACAAGCTGTGCTAGGTGTTAAATATTTTACTGTGTCTAATGTGAGAGAAAGTATGTTGACAGACACATGGTAAATTGGTTATGATTTATTAGTAGATAATTAAACTGCATTTTAAGTTCAAAGACTTGATGAATAATAAATTTGGTTTAGTGTGTATATCTTCTGTTTAGTAATATTTGTAGCTGTATGACTGCAGGCCATATATGATGGAAGGCTCACATTTTGAGAACATCTTCAGAGTTAGCATGTTAACATTGAGGAAGTTTAGTGTATTTTATTTCCCTGGGTGCATTCGGGAAGTGCATTTTGATTGAATTTATGGATCTAAAGCAGTTGTGAAGGAACACCATTAGTATATATACTTCCTAGCTAAAAGTGTAAAACTACATTATTTTTAAATTGCATTTAAGTGGGGGTGGGCTGTGCAAACATGCATATGCCACACAGTGTGCGCTGAGGTCGGAGGACAACTTGTGGGAATCGCTTACCTCTTTGACCATGTGGAGGATGGATGGCTTGGCAGCAAAGGTCTTCCAAACCAAATTTTAATATGTGGATCTGGGGAGATGGTTCAATAAGTAAGAACACTTTTGCTAAATAGGCACAAATTCAGATCCACATCACCCACTGACAGCAGTCAGCATGACCATGCATGCCTGTAACCCCAGTGCTGGAGCAGGGGCAAAGAATGATTGCTAGCTACAGCCTAACTGAATAAACAGGGAGCTTCAGGTTCACGGAGAGGCCCTATCTCAAGACATAAGGCAGAAAATGATAAGACACCCAGTGTTCGTCTCTGACCTACCCAGGAATGCACAAGCATACACATATACAATGCACACAAAATTTTTCTCTTTTTCTTTAAAATATTTTATACATGCAGAAATTTCTGGTCCCCTTTTCCCTATCCAGTAACAATATCGTAAAAGCCTATGAAGGTTCCTTTGGTCACTATATAATTAGCCATGCAGTAAAAATGTATAATGCATTTTGCCAGTTAACACTAATAAAAATTATTCAGTTGTCTCTGCGTTCTGTCTTTACTAAAATACTTGTTTTCCTAGACTGATGATGGAGAAGATGACCTGAAAAAAGGTACCCAGTTATTAGAAATCTATGCTTTGGAAATTCAGATGTACACGGCACAGAAGAATAACAAAAAGCTTAAAGCGCTGTATGAGCAATCACTTCACATCAAGTCTGCCATCCCTCACCCACTGATCATGGGCGTCATCAGAGGCAAGTTTGGGTGCAAAGGGTAGGAGGGAAGATCTGGAGTCATTGGGGCTGAATGGCTCTTAGTCTGTTTTACTGACAGGAAATAGTGAAATATGAAAATCATGAAGTACTCTGATAGAAATTAGCATGGCTTCTAGTTTTAAGAAGGTCACATAGTAAAAGGTACTATTTAAAAGTCACATTATCGGTGTCTTCCTCCTGAGTTGTAATGACATGAAAGCTTACTTACTCAGTAAAAGCTGTAAATATTTGCAGTGAGAGCTGATGTTCAGTGAGCTTGCTTTATGAGATAAAGATGGAAACCCTGGGGTTGTGCCGGGCTACTGCCGTGCAGGACATACGGTTAAAAGCCAATGCAGTAGCCTTCATTTGGTCTTCATAAGTTAATCTTGTTATTATCTAGCTGGAAATGTCCTTTTTTCTCCTGTTTGCTCTTTACAGAATGTGGTGGTAAAATGCACTTGAGAGAAGGTGAATTTGAAAAGGCACACACTGATTTTTTTGAAGCTTTCAAGAATTATGATGAATCAGGAAGCCCAAGACGAACCACTTGTTTAAAATATTTGGTCTTAGCAAATATGCTAATGAAATCAGGAATAAATCCATTTGACTCACAAGAGGTATGTCTGCTTTCTTCATTTCTCTTATTAGCTGATTAACTTTTTGGAAGTAAGAGGTACTCTTTAGTACTTCTGGATAATTTGATTTTGTTTTGTTTTTCTGTTAGGCTAAGCCGTATAAGAATGATCCAGAAATTCTAGCAATGACAAATTTAGTAAGGTAAGATTTATGTTTTCCTAAGGCAAACCCCTTTAAAGCAGCTTACAGAGGGGAGGGACAGACAGCAGCAGAGAACAGTTGACGATCAACATATATTCTTTTGTGTGTTTGTGTAAAAGGCACATAAGTTCATGTCTTTTTTTATTTTTTGAAGCCATTATTCTGTTTCTGTTAGTCATGGACTATGTATAAAATCCTACTTGGTTTGTTGTTTTGTTTATGTTGGTCCCCTCCCTCCCTTTCCAGTTGGCCTTGAACTTGTAATCCTGTTGCCTTGGCCTCTTCCAGTAGGCCCACCTTGGTTTTCCTTGTTTATTTGTTTTTGGCTTTTTTTTTTTTTTTTTAATTATTATTTACTTACTTTTTGCTTCTTTTCTTATTAGCCACGTGTTTGTGTGTGACATATATGGCAGTTTTAACTGTCAATGTCTCAAAACTTTCTCAATATTAATACCTCTGCCAACCTTAAGTCTAAATTAAATTATAAATTGGTCCGAGATAAATCAATAATTTTCAGTAAAAAGATGCATAAAAAGCATACTTTCTCAGTGACAAGTTACAAATGACATTAAAACAAAACTTTTGGGGCAAGGCCTAGTTGTGCACACCTTTAGCCCTGTCCTCAGGAAGTGAACGTGGGTGGATCTCTGTGAGTGGTCTGCAGAGCCGGGTGCAGGCTGGCCGGGACTACACAGTGAGACTCGGCCTCACAGAGGAAAAAGAACGCTCCATGTTAGCACTAAGTAAAAAGCAAGTGTTGGGGAGAAGTTTTGCTATAAATATTTGCATTGCTCAATATTCTCCCATTGCTTACTTACATTTTAGATTTATTTTAATGTTTGCTGAATCAGGTTGATTTTAATTATGAAAGAGCACTTCTCCAATCTTTTTTCAAGAGGTTTAACTTATCTATATTTGCTATATTATTTCGGGTTGATTTGACCACAAATTAACATTAACATACTTTAAAAATATGTTTAACATTAAGGATACCTTTAAAATATTTTTATAGCAGTAGCTTGCTAAACTAAAACTAAGGAAATAATGAAAGTTTTGATTAGAAATTAATGTTATATAAATTGGTTCAGTATAATAAAATACATCGCAGAACTGCTTTTACAAAGTAGAAATTATGCTGTATTTATTATGTCTTGTTACTCCAGTGAAGCATCTGTAGTGGAACTCAAAAAATTTGTTGTAATGATACACTTTTGTCCGAGCAAAAAATAAAAATAAAATCTACTTCATGGGAAAAACTCTTATAGTTAAAATATAGGTGTATGCAAGTGTGAGATAAAATATGCGTATGGTGTTTTCACTACTTGGAGACAACCTCCTGTTGTGCATTACAGTGTGTTGGGGTAGGTAAGAAAGTAATACTTCCTAATTTTATCTTCCTAGTCAGTTGCCAGCAGACTAGAGGAAAATATTTGCTGTTGAAGCACTTGATCACCTACCCCTAACATGAAGTGACTTTGCGACCAACAGATGGAAGCACAGCAGAGGGCGTGCAGAGTGGTTGATGATATGTCTTACATATAAAGCACTCAATGGTGCCATGTCCAGAAGGTCGGCTTCTTCCTTCTCAGCACCTTTAGCAATCTCAGAGTTCCTTACACGGTTGTTTGGAGTAGCTGCCAGATCCCTAAGGAGAATTAGAGACATAAATCAGCCGTTGGCCTTCTGCAACAGGGGGTTCCATCACTGTGTCCTCTGTACGTGCTCATTTGGCATTCCTGTCACTCGTGTTTCTGCTATATAGGTTGGTGGGACTTTAAGGGTAGAAAGATTTGAGAGTCAAGCCTTTTGAAAAGGTTTTGCAGTTGCTGGTAGCTTTCTAGAAGATATAAATTAGGAAGCTGTATTTTCTGGATCTTCTTCAGAAAGGATACACTTTTGTATTTGAAAGCTAAGGCCAAGCTCCTTTGTTGAATAATGTGCATGAAACCTGGTTTCTTTCATTAAGAACAATTAGGGACCAGAAATGCACATTAACTAATATAATAAACATTTTTATTGTCAACTTTGAATAAAACTAAGATTTGAGATTATTTTAAATGGCTAATGATTCTGTATGACATCTCCTCCCAAACAAAAAGATTGCTTTACTCTTTCCTTTAGAATAAACAAAAAAATCATTCAAGTTTTTTGGGGTTATTTATTTGGTGCTGGAAATGTTTTTGGGGGAAGACTGTATGTGTGATTTAATTTTGACCTCTGTGAGAGAAACAATAATAAACCTAGGTTCTTGCCTATAAACACTGAGAAGTAGACTCTGGGTTGGGTTTTGATACGTTACTTGATATATGGCAACATGTATGCTTTTTTTCTGTTAGTGCCTATCAGAATAATGACATCACTGAATTTGAAAAGATTCTGAAAACAAATCACAGCAACATCATGGATGACCCGTTCATAAGAGAACACATTGAAGGTATGCTGGCTGGCTGAGTTCTGCTCTGTTCTTTGATCTTGTCAAGTACATGCTTTTTAATGGGGTCACATGGGATTAAATTGCCAGGGCAAAGGAGAAACATATTTTCCTAAGTGCTGCCGTGGTTTAGGAAACTTGTATAAATCATTAGCAAGCTTCATATGAGTACCAGATTTGTACATGGCATTCATTTTTCTTTACCTTTTTATTCTAATGTATATATTGCTGTGATTTAATTATTGGTGCTTAGAGTCAAACCTAACTTTTACGGTTTGTTAAAAAGCTGTAAAAATATATTGGACCTATAGATGATGCAGAGATGATTTCCCCAGAATAGGAGGTAACATTGGGAAGTTTTCTTAGCATAAGTAAGTAAAGCTTAATAAGCTCTGCTGAATTAACACAGACAGACACAGTGTCTGTGTTGCAGCCTCTTACAGCTCTAGTGTTCCATCTGTTAAGCACTGTTGAGAGCTGGGCAGTGGTGGCCCACACCTTCAACCCCAGCACCAAGGAGACAGAGACAGGTGGCTGAGTTTGAAATTAGCCTCAAACTCAGGGAGTTGAGGATTGCCAGGGCTAACAGAGAAACTCTGTTTTGAAAAGGGGAGAAGGGGGGAGAAACTATTGAGGATGCTTAAACGACCCTTTGGGAACAATCCACGAAAATATTTAAATGTTAAATGCATCAGACAATTTTGAAGAATATATCAGAAGTCATGTTCTCTCGTTCCCTAGTTTGATTCTGCCAACCACCTAATTCAATAGGTATTTTTTTATTTTATGATCCTGGAGGGATACTTTACATTATAAAAACAGGAAATAGAATAGCATTATCTGTAATGCTATTCTCCAGTCTAGTCGTAATTTTTTTTTTTAAGACAGTTGTGTGTGAAGAATTGTATATGGGCCAGGCATAGTAGTGCTTACCTTTAATCCCAGCACTAGAAACTAGACAGAAGCAGATGCATCTCTGAGTTCTGAAACAACTGGGGCTACATGGTGAGTGTATGGGAGTTACTGAAAGTGTGAGATGTAGCGCACTAGACTGAGAGCCCCAGGACAAGGAACTCAGCGAGTGAGTCAGCCTCTCGGCTGTGTTAAATGTTAAGGAAATGATGCACAGTGGAATGTGGAGAAGAGAAAACTGTTTCTGGAGAGTTACAGCATAATTAGAGAGCAAGAAACTGGGAGAGAGAGAGCCTCTCATCAGACCATGCTTTTGCTACGCTTGGCTTTTCAAAATCTAAATGCCCTGTGTCTTTACAAAGGAAAATGGTTTGGTAAGGTAAATCATGTAGTTAGTTAACGTGGCTTGTACTTACTTGAGACTTAAAGACATTTACAGTTACAAATGTTTTTTTCTCTTTGTCTTTCAGAGCTTTTACGAAACATCAGAACACAAGTGCTCATAAAGTTAATTAAGCCTTACACAAGAATACATATTCCTTTTATTTCTAAGGTATTTGTGGATATTAGTTGTTTATGATTTGTGCCTACAGTTGCAGTATACTTATCTTCGCTTTTTTAAAAGCGACTAACTTGTACATGCAGCTTTTTTCTTTTTCTTTCTTTCTTTCTTTTTTTTTTTTTTTTTTTAAAGTAAACTATAACTTTCAGACTTTACTTTGGATTTTCGAGACATGGGTTTCATGTAGCCCAGGCTAACTTCATATAGAGAGTGTGTGTGTATGTGCAGTGTGTGTACACGTACATGTGAACTCATGTAACACTGTATAGCTGAGGATGATCTTGAACTCCTAATCTTTTTGCCCTCCTTTGTCTTCCAAGTGGCAAGTGACAGGTTTGAGCCACCATGCCGAGCCAGGGCTTTAAATTCTAATGTGAATTTTTCAGTGTTACTTGGTGTAAATTGCTTTAACAGAAAAGAAATTTAATGTGTGAGAGACATTACAAATACTCAGTTTCTAAGATCCACTCATTCGCAAGCAGAGCGAGTGAAGTGATAATAAAGGTTCAGGTCCAAGCTCTGCAAACGCGGTAGGCGTGCACCCTAGCGGTAGAAGAGGGCTGAGGGCAGCGCTTGGTGCAGAGCACTCACCTACAGGACACTCCGATGGAATGATAGATTTGTTAAAGATCTCAAGCTGCGGGCTGGAGAGATGGCTCAGTGGTTAAGAGCACTGACTGTTCTCCCAGACGACCCTGGTTCAATCCCCAGCACCCGCATGACAGCTCACAACTGTCTGTAACCCCTGTTTCAGGGGATCTGACACTCTCACATAGACATACATGCAGTCAAAACACCAATGTACATAAAATAAAAAATAAATTATAAAAAAAAAAATCTCAAGGCAAACCTGGAAGCATATAAAATATACGTCTAATCTCAGCTGTTCAGGAGGCTTAGGTGGGAAGATTGTGAGTTCAAGGCCTACCTTGGCTACAGAGTAAATTTAAGCCAGCCCAGCTAATTTATTGAAACCCTATCTTCAATGTGGAAAGAGGGTTGGGATATAGCTCAGTGGTATAGTGTTTGCGCAAGATTCTAGGTTCAGTACCCAGGATCATCAGGAAAAAATGTTCTTCATAAATGGGTTTGTTGCTCAGTAAGAGGGCACCTGCCTAGTGGGGGATGGGGGCCGGGTTAAATCACTGTTGTAGAAAAGAGGGGAAAAAATAAATTGAATAAGGTAATAAATGTTATAACTAACACTAACCTCCTTTATTAATGTTTCCTTTCAGTGGTATAAATTAAAGCTATATGATTATATAATCATGAATTCGGTTTTAATGTTAACTAGTAGAATTATATAATAAAATATTTTGTCTTAGGAGCTAAACATAGACGTAGCTGATGTGGAAAGCTTGCTGGTGCAATGCATACTGGATAAGTAAGTACTTTGAAGCTTTTTTTTTTTAATTGTGTGTGTGTTATGTGTATGTGAGTGCAAGTG